GGTGCAGCACGAGGGCTTCCTCCTCCGCAAGCACGAGCTGGACGGACCCAACAAGAAGGCGTCCAACAGGTGGGTGGGGTGGGGTCTGCGAGGGAAGGGGGTGCACCAGGGCTTGGGGGGTCCATCGATGGAGAGCGGTCACCAGGGCTTGGAGGGCCAACCAGTTGACATCATGCACCAAGATTTGGAGGTCCATCAATGGAGGGGATTCACCAGGGTTTTGGGGGGTCTATCAATGGTGAGGGGTCACCATGGTTTGGAGGTCCATCAATGGAGAGGGGTCACCAGGGTTTTGGGGGGGTCTATCATTGGAGAGGGGTCACCAGGGCTTGAGGATCCATTGATGGAGAGGGCTCACCATGGCTTGGAGGGCCAACCAGTTGACATCACGCACCAAGGTTTGGGGGGTCCATCAACGGAGAAGGTTCAGCAAGGTTTGGAGGTTCATCGATGGAGAGGGGTCACCAGGCTTTTGGGGGGGTCTATCAATGGTGAGGGCGCACCAGAGCTTGGAGGTCCATCAGTGGTGAAGATTTACCATGGCTTGGTGGGTCGACCAGTTGACATCATGCACCAAGGTTTGGGGATCCATCAACGGAGAAGGTTCAGCAAGGTTTGAAGGTCCATCGATGGAGAGGGGTCACCATGGTTTTGGGGGGTCTGTCATTGGAGAGGAGTCACCAGGGTTTGGAGGTCCATCAATGCAGTGGGTGCCCCAGGGCTTGGGTGCTCCACACAACACGAAGCCACCAGCAGCGTTGGGTCACCCGCTGGCGTCACCACCCACCCCGTGTCCCCCCCACCCTTGAGCAGATCCTGGGTGAACCTCTACTGCGTCCTGAGCAAGGGTGACCTGGGCTTCTACAAGGATGCCAAGGGCCAAGCGGCCGGCAGCACCCATGGTGGTGAACCCCTCCTCAACCTCCACAACTCCCACAGCGAGAGGGGTGGCCAGCGACTACAAGAAGAAGAAGAACGTCTTCAAGCTCAAGTACATTGGGGTGCTCACGAGGGGGGGGTCCCCCCAAATTCTTGGCGATGGGGGCGGGGGGCGTTGAGTAGGACCTTCTCTTGTAGGACCAGCGATGGGAGCGAGTTCCTCCTGCAAGCCAAGGATGAGGTAGGAGCCTGTGGGGTTTGGGGGGTGGTTGAGGGTCTGATGATGGTTTGGGGGGGACCTCAGGATGGTTTTGAGGTGTCTTGATGGTTTGGGGGGTGTCCTCGTGATGGTTTGGGGATGTCCTGCTGGTTTTTGAATGACCTCAGGGTGGTTGTGGTGATCCTGCTGATGGTTTTGAGGTCTCCTGATGGTTTTGGGGTGTCCTGATGGGCTTGAGGTCTCCTTATGCTTTTGGGATGTCCTCATGATGGTTTTGGGGTGTCCTGATGGTCTTGAGGTCTCCTTATGCTTTTGGGATGTCCTCATGATGGTTTTGGGGTGTCCTGATGGGCTTGGGGGTCACCTGGTGGATTTGGGGTGACCTCATCATTGTTTTGAGGTGACCTCATGAAGGTTTTGGGGTTCCTGTTGTGGTTTTGAGGTCTCCTGCTGGTTTTGAGGTGACCTCATGACGGTTTTTTTGGGCCTCCTGCTGGTTTTGGGTTTTCCTGCTGGTTTTGAGGTGACCTCATGATGGTTTTGGGGTTTCCTGATGGTTTTTGGGGTGTCCTCCTGGTGGTTGTGGGGTTC